GTGTTTACTCTTTATGCACATAATAATAACAAAATATACGTGTCGCCTTCAGATATGATTAATATTTAAAGGATAAAACATTCAGTTTTTAAAGGAGTTATGCTAATAAATCTCTCTGAAACCAATCATGTACTTATTCGTGTTGTATTATGATATTTACACGACAGCAAATAATGATTGATTCGTAAACTGTATATTTAGGTCATATTTCTTGCTGAGTTTTTATATTATATATATAATTATTATTATATTTTATATACAATTCTCCACATGTTACTAACAAATGATATTGAAAGGATTTTAACAAGCGGTGTTACATCAACCAGGAATTTAGTTCCTTGTGGCGACCTCGTTGTACAAAACAGGGAAACAAGTTGAACAACACGTTGGAGAGGATCTATAAGAATACTGGCTCATTTTCCAAAGTTATTATAACGAATGGGTTGTTGGTAAACGTTTGCACGTCCAATTTATGCTTAAAGGTTAACTATTATGCTTATAGGTTAACCGCCAGTCAGTCATTGACATATAACAGTAATAATTCCCTCTGGGTGATAGATTTATTTTCGGCAACGCTGTGACAATATTTCCACAGTGAGTCTGTCCTCTGTTATTTACGGAGCGACACTGTCAGCATAAATGTTGTCGATTCTGACATTAAACCACACTCCTGCGGTAGCGAGGCAATCATTAGCGTGCGTAATCAATCATGATGTGTCAGTTGTACTCAAAATATGTCAATAGTCAGAAAAGTGGATAGTAGACATAATTTCGCAATGGGATACAATTTCCTGAACAAATTTCCCATGTGAGTAATTTACTTGCAAATTACCTATCGTCCAATCTAGAATGACGTAACTGTGTAATAGAATGGCAACCAAGAGGATCTCGGGATACCGATGATATAGATTTTGTTTTGTTGTATGATAAACGAACTATGCTTGGTTGTTTATCAAGTGATCGTTAATTTTTTCTGTGTATGTGATATTATGTAAAAATAAATATATCGTTATGTGAACCAGTCTACCAATCCTACACGCATATGCAGAGTAATGTCAATGAAGTGGTATTGTCATAAATTTGGAGAAAGTGAATATATTTATTTCGCAGATTCATAAAACTATTGCTACATATTTTTAAGATGTTGAATTTAAAATATTGCCATGAAATGAACAAGATTGAAAGACGTCAACTCAAAATACTTGTCAGACCATCTAGGTTTTCTGTTTCAAGAAGTCAAAATTACAAATATTGTTCACTAAAATTAGATATCTGAAGTTATCGCACGTAATAAAATATCTTCATGCAGTTATACCTGAGGCAACTACATGCACAATAGTCGATTTCAAGACGAAGTCGGAAATAAAATTCTTCACCAAAAAAAACAATATTCACTTGATTTACAGAAATAAAGTCCATCGTCACGATATAAACGAATGTGATAAAGATTCCAACTAAATTATCAAAGCAATTATCAAAATATTTACTAAAATGTCAAGTTGTCGCCGTTGGACGACGACGGACATTCAGTAATTTCAGTACCCCGAGGAATTACAATGTTCGGGAATATTAGACTAACCACTACTAGTAACACACAATTACAAATAATTCTATCTGATATGTAGGCTTGGTCACGTGTTCCGTATATGAACGCTTCGCGACAACTATGACTGTACATTTGCCATTTGAAAGGTACGTATTACCTTTGAAAACGTACCCGACCTCGCCTCACAGTTTCTAATTTGATAATCCAGTATATGCACATATACTGCTGATACGGTATTCAGTAACTCAGTCATTACGTTTGATTGTATTGGTATAATGAATAAAATCGTTAATTCAGCCAGACATGACAGTCCCAGTTGAATGTTATTGGATCATTAATCACAATGGAGATTTATATCCTATTTTGTCAAATCCATCAGACTTTCACAACAGTTCCCGAATATTACATGGAAATAAGCAGATACTATACATTCTCGACTCGTGGCGCATGGTATAAATTACCATAGCGTACGTGTGAAGTATACTTGGCTTTATAGCAGTTGAACGAATGTTTAAATGGTCCCTTCAATGCTTGTTATAGATAATGAATTTTTAATTTATATCAGGCAGTTCCTAAATTATCATAAATGGATCGATCACGCGAGATCTGCTCAATTAAGACGATTGTCACATTATGTTACTACTCTGCATGAATGATCTATAGACCATTCAGTGTCTTATATTTATGCAAATTGTCTAATAACTAGCCAACTATTATCCAACAGTGCAACGTCCTATAGTACACACGTGGTAATGTCACTAACTATATGGGTTTATTGAGGCAGGTTTGGCCAGGTTACAAAATGCTTGGCATAGGTAGTAGAAACATAATTATTTGACACGAAGGCAAAATGAGGCAATCATCACTCAGTCGTAAAATGCAGTCATGATCCATTACGTGGGCTGTTATTGATTTGTCAAGTCAGTATTGAATGCGTTCGTTTGGAGAATACTAGTCATGCTAATGTCACATGCTCTTGACATTTTTCACGCAACGAAATAATATGAGTGGATTTTCAGTTTAAATATGAAATACTTCACCTATGACACACAGACGTATAATTAGAATCGTTGAATGATATATGGCATAAGGGCTTGTTTAATGAATATTTAGCAGCAGTCGATTAGTGCTTCCTCTCTGTAGGCACTCGATCGTGTCTGCATCGCTGGTATATTAGATGATGGGCACTGTGTGAAGGTCGGAGAATATAAATGCCGGAAAACTTGATAACGATTAACATCAGTTTTGTCCCCTGCGGCTACACGTGTTAAACATGTAGTAATTTTGCGGAGTATTTAAAACACGTCAGGTAAATAGTAAAGGTTTAAAGATTCAGTACTGCGAAGGAAAGGAAAGACAGAAGTGGAATCAAACACATTTACCTAATTAATTAATTATTTTATTAGAGAAGGATCCATGGCAAGCGTTTCTATCTGTTACACAACAACACACATAGTCCATGCAATGCAATATTTTAAAGGGAAGACAATAATTGTTTCAGCTTTTATGTCTTAATGATCGAACTCTGAGAACACTCAATGTTAGCAAATCTTTAATCGGGGTTAACAGTACATATCTGTGGAAAATTAATTGGGGTTAAGAAATGCAGTATTCGCGAAAGTTTAAACAATCTGAATCACTGTAGTGTTAACTTGGTTAATATTTTCCTGGGCGAAAACAAAACCTCATATGTTCGCATACATTAAAAAGCGTGAATTTGCACCGATATTTCTATCACGACGAAGGTTCATATTGACAACGCTACTAAATGATATATATGCTAGTCACGACAACACAAAATGTCCCACAGCTGTATAGATA